CTGTGGAATTGCGTAATGAGTACTGATGTCCCATCGCACTATCTGATTCCACTTTCCCCTCCTAATCTGACCGAATGCTCTCTTTCTTGGTAATGCAACTTTCAATTCTTCTTTTACATTTCCTTCCTCCTCCATCTCCTTCTTCTCCCAGTTCATGTAAATTGAGAGAGTGGATTGTTGTGGAAACACGTCATAATGCAGCAAAGGGGAAGTGTGGAGGCAAAAGTCCACAAATTTAGTAAGTTCGACGTTATAGAGGTAAGAAAAAGCTGGTCAAGTAAGTAAACAGTTGGACAGGGAAGAACTAGCTGGTCACTTCTAGCCGAAAAAATACTTCTCTCTTTCCCTTCCAGAGCGTATGAATCTTAACTGAACCACGAAGTAAATGGCAGTCAGGTGAGTGTATTTGACAGCTGACGAGGGTTGATGTTACCCGATTAACGCACCTTGGTAATTCAGTGGAGAGTAGCATTGAGAAGGCATCTAAAGGAACTAAACTGCCAGTGTAAATGTATACTTGCAGAAGTAATAAAAACGTTAATGAAATGCCTCCCTTCCCTTCCTCCACTCGCCAATCTCACCTCTCCCGTGATCTCATATGCATTCCTGAGTCACTGCTGCTGCCGTGTTCTACATGGCTACAGTGGAGTGTAGTCTGCCACATCGCACAATCTGATTGTACTCTGCCCTCCTCATGTGACCAAATGCGCTGTCACATCATGCTCCTCCCCGCCCCTACCGCTATCTTCTCCTCTCATCATCGCCAAAACAGTGTACGTGGGTGGGCGATGGCAAGAAATGCATCAATCAAACTACCGACAAATCAACTGCCTAGGTTTTTTGCGACCGAGGTTTGTGACTCCTACTAGGGTAGAAAATTTGCCACCAGAATGAATGCAGTTACACAGGAAATGAGCTAGACGGTTGAAGGAGTCTTAATAAACTGCTGTTTTCAACATACTTGGAGATGAGGGTGGCATGTGGAAGCGACATCATTGAAGCAAGGCCTATTTACCAGGTAATAAATTTTCACAATGAATTGAAAGCAACCGCTTAAGCAGTCAAATCGTGACAATTAGATTCACGTCAAGTGGATTGGGATGAAGAGTAAAGGAGAGGGGTGGAATCAAATTTATGATTGATGATTGATTTATGATTGACTTCATTCTGCTTACATAAACACCTTCTAATGGTTGTTCTCTTCTAAAGGTTAATCTATATTTTGCGAAATGACACAGTCATTTGCGTTTGTAGAGAAGGGGATTACACGTGTCACGTATGCGTGACGCTAGTGGTGAACGTATAGAGTAGCACTGAATGGTAGGGAAGAAGGCTTTATGCGCTTACAGGCATCGACATTTTTGACTTCTTTACCCATTTAAGGATTACGGGTGGCCAAAAAGTTGGCTTGGTGTTTACCACAGCTCGGTACATCCACCACCGGTTATGTAGAAGGACTGGTGAAATGTCGTCGTTATTGAGGTGCGCAACACTGAATTACTGCAAGCTAGCTGACCAATGACTTATCCCCATTGTTGTGCCTACTCATCCTCGCCCCACACCGAAGCGCTGCTCACAAGATGCGATGTCGGTTAAAGCAGACTGTCGGATGTGACGATACGATTGATGTCTGTCTGCTTTATGGTTGAATTTGACCTCGGTGCCCCCAGCCTCGCACAGACATTTCATCAAAGCCACACAGCAACTGAAGAGGGTGTAGTGGGACTACAATCGCAAGTAACATCAAGTCAGATCACAATCATGCAGAAGTGTCTCAATGGCCTTTGTCACATCTCTGTGACATCAGGGACGGTTGACACTCCACTCATTGTATTCACAAAGAAGTGGAAGTTTGGTGTCACTCATCTAAAGCAGGTAGGAATGACCTGCTAAGGGGAAGTGTCAGCACCAGCATACACTAGGTAAATGATGAATTGGCCAGTTTATTTACTTCTGGGTGAATGATTCGGAAACCGATAAATTAGGAGATAAAAATGGACTTTTTGAAACTGACACCGTGTCCTTCCCTATTTTACCTCCTCAATTTACCCAACCTCGCGCTATCTGCGTATCAACTCTAGTCAAGAAGACAACTGTCAATTTATTCCACTTCTAAAAGCAGAAAAACTCCACCTTCTTTATTGGACCAATCGCAGTGGTTAGACGGTGCATGACTGAATTGGTCGAACAGAAGGAGGAAAAGCTTTCTGCCAACTTCTGTACGAACCGTTTCCTCTAATATTATATATTAAAGGCTACGATGCCTTCTGTTCTGCTTCTTCCCGCACCTCATCAACCATCTAACTAGCTCTCCCTCATTCCCATCTGGTCGCTTCAATGCGTCCACTAAGTAACCAGCGCTGTAGCTATTAATTCATATAAGGTGTGCAGTGGTGGGCGAAACCACGTAATGTGCTTTCTTTCTCAGCTCAATCTGATTAGCCCTTCCACTTCGGAGCCACAAGAAAAATGCCTGATCCACACATGCTTCTGTTATTTGCACAAAGGCCTCTTTTTCCAGTGAGTCTGGGCAACAGCCCTGAATCGGCTCAAATGTTTCTACTTTATCATAGAGAAAGGGGAGCAAGAGTGGAAGGATACTGCTTTGGCCCCAATCTCCCTCTCATTCCAATGCCAGGCATACGCCCAAGTGATGGCTGTGACGGTCCATCTCCTTCTTCTCCCAGTTCATGTAAATTGAGAGAGTGGATTGTTGTGGAAACACGTCATAATGCAGCAAAGGGGAAGTGTGGAGGCAAAAGTCCACAAATTTAGTAAGTTCGACGTTATAGAGGTAAGAAAAAGCTGGTCAAGTAAGTAAACAGTTGGACAGGGAAGAACTAGCTGGTCACTTCTAGCCGAAAAAATACTTCTCTCTTTCCCTTCCAGAGCGTATGAATCTTAACTGAACCACGAAGTAAATGGCAGTCAGGTGAGTGTATTTGACAGCTGACGAGGGTTGATGTTACCCGATTAACGCACCTTGGTAATTCAGTGGAGAGTAGCATTGAGAAGGCATCTAAAGGAACTAAACTGCCAGTGTAAATGTATACTTGCAGAAGTAATAAAAACGTTAATGAAATGCCTCCCTTCCCTTCCTCCACTCGCCAATCTCACCTCTCCCGTGATCTCATATGCATTCCTGAGTCACTGCTGCTGCCGTGTTCTACATGGCTACAGTGGAGTGTAGTCTGCCACATCGCACAATCTGATTGTACTCTGCCCTCCTCATGTGACCAAATGCGCTGTCACATCATGCTCCTCCCCGCCCCTACCGCTATCTTCTCCTCTCATCATCGCCAAAACAGTGTACGTGGGTGGGCGATGGCAAGAAATGCATCAATCAAACTACCGACAAATCAACTGCCTAGGTTTTTTGCGACCGAGGTTTGTGACTCCTACTAGGGTAGAAAATTTGCCACCAGAATGAATGCAGTTACACAGGAAATGAGCTAGACGGTTGAAGGAGTCTTAATAAACTGCTGTTTTCAACATACTTGGAGATGAGGGTGGCATGTGGAAGCGACATCATTGAAGCAAGGCCTATTTACCAGGTAATAAATTTTCACAATGAATTGAAAGCAACCGCTTAAGCAGTCAAATCGTGACAATTAGATTCACGTCAAGTGGATTGGGATGAAGAGTAAAGGAGAGGGGTGGAATCAAATTTATGATTGATGATTGATTTATGATTGACTTCATTCTGCTTACATAAACACCTTCTAATGGTTGTTCTCTTCTAAAGGTTAATCTATATTTTGCGAAATGACACAGTCATTTGCGTTTGTAGAGAAGGGGATTACACGTGTCACGTATGCGTGACGCTAGTGGTGAACGTATAGAGTAGCACTGAATGGTAGGGAAGAAGGCTTTATGCGCTTACAGGCATCGACATTTTTGACTTCTTTACCCATTTAAGGATTACGGGTGGCCAAAAAGTTGGCTTGGTGTTTACCACAGCTCGGTACATCCACCACCGGTTATGTAGAAGGACTGGTGAAATGTCGTCGTTATTGAGGTGCGCAACACTGAATTACTGCAAGCTAGCTGACCAATGACTTATCCCCATTGTTGTGCCTACTCATCCTCGCCCCACACCGAAGCGCTGCTCACAAGATGCGATGTCGGTTAAAGCAGACTGTCGGATGTGACGATACGATTGATGTCTGTCTGCTTTATGGTTGAATTTGACCTCGGTGCCCCCAGCCTCGCACAGACATTTCATCAAAGCCACACAGCAACTGAAGAGGGTGTAGTGGGACTACAATCGCAAGTAACATCAAGTCAGATCACAATCATGCAGAAGTGTCTCAATGGCCTTTGTCACATCTCTGTGACATCAGGGACGGTTGACACTCCACTCATTGTATTCACAAAGAAGTGGAAGTTTGGTGTCACTCATCTAAAGCAGGTAGGAATGACCTGCTAAGGGGAAGTGTCAGCACCAGCATACACTAGGTAAATGATGAATTGGCCAGTTTATTTACTTCTGGGTGAATGATTCGGAAACCGATAAATTAGGAGATAAAAATGGACTTTTTGAAACTGACACCGTGTCCTTCCCTATTTTACCTCCTCAATTTACCCAACCTCGCGCTATCTGCGTATCAACTCTAGTCAAGAAGACAACTGTCAATTTATTCCACTTCTAAAAGCAGAAAAACTCCACCTTCTTTATTGGACCAATCGCAGTGGTTAGACGGTGCATGACTGAATTGGTCGAACAGAAGGAGGAAAAGCTTTCTGCCAACTTCTGTACGAACCGTTTCCTCTAATATTATATATTAAAGGCTACGATGCCTTCTGTTCTGCTTCTTCCCGCACCTCATCAACCATCTAACTAGC